AAGGAGCAGACTAGAGCGAGAAAGAGAGAAGAGAGGAAGGTGCAGCCGGGCAAACCTGACATGTTCCAGACAAGCAGCGAAGCGTTTCAGCACATCTCCCTGAAGGGAGCCACAACAAGGAGGCTGAAGAGCTGCGGGTTGCTGACCCCTGTAATAAACCAATGTTCAACAAAGGTTTAACATAATAGTTGAAATGCAGCTTTTAAAAAACTAAGTAAATACTTAAATGACATGTTAAGACAGGCTCTGAAGCAGAGTAATGAAAGCTTTTTCAGTGAAACCTTTGATGTATAAAAATATATTCTTAAAAAATCAGAGTATAGCACAAGTTTTCAAATCTAAATACAAACATTTTTATTTTTCATATATTTACATACTGCATTTACCTCAGTGGTTTCAAAGATAACTTTTCAAAGTATTTCAACAACTTCAACAAAGAAACTAAATGTAAGTATTTAATTCAAAGCATTCCAACTCAGTAATAATGATGCTATTAAAAAGTATAAAAGTTAGATTTTAGTCAAACAAACTAAACTAAAAATCAGTCCAGTTGTTCAGTAAGAACAGCTTTAGCAAAAGACACATGGTGCCATGACTTTTACTTTCATTTAGTTATTACTTTGACTTAGTCACTTACTTTCATTTAATCATATTAGAGGTTGTCTTGTTTCATTCACTCTACCGTATGTGTATATAAACTGAAAAATGAATTCAAGTTTTTTTTACAGTTGGTTTAGCAGATTATATTCTGTTTTATATTTTAAATAATGAATGTGTTTGTAGTTTAAAGATCTGAAGTTGTACTGTAAAAATGTATTTATAAATTTAGCTCATGGTAAAGGAGCATCTGGGTGACTTTCAGTGAAAAGATCAAACTATTTTCAAACACTAACTGTGAGGAAACACACCCTTACAGTACATCAGTTTAAAACATATATAACAGACAATAAAGTAAATCAGTTGTGAATATCATTATGATATAACATAAAATATGATATAAATATCAACCCCACACTGGACCTAAACAGCAAAATAGTGATGCTGTACGGACTCAGTGTCAGGTTTGCCCGGCTGCACCTTCCTCTCTTCCTTTTCCTCACTCTAGTTTTGCTTCCCTGATTACACTATCTAACA